AAGGCTGTTGGGATACTTGTAGGTTCGCAAGCAGTACCAGCAAATGTAGCGCTCTTCGCCTAGCAAGGAAAAACAATAGATCTGTAACAATAACCAGAAATGCGTCAAGCGCAACTTTGACAAAGACTTTTGAAACGCTTTCAGATTTGAAGGGAGGAAGATGCTGGGAGGGAGGGGAGGTGATAGGTGGCGGCGGGGAATCTACTGAGGCAGAGGTCAGTGTAACTGCTCCCAATTAGTAGTTCCCCAAGTAGTAGGTCCTTTGGGCTCCCACTTTCAAAAGTCCCAGTAATTTTCCAACCATCTCTGGACTGCCACATCTTGGTTCAAACTGTGCTGATATATTAGAGTTTGGTCTCCATTGCGTTGATAGACAAGATTATGCAAGTGCCTGAGTTCGGACTAACGCATGTTGGCAGATGATAATAAAATAGAGCAAGTGTCAGCTGTATCAGTGCTGGATAAATATGGTCTCAGGGAAGCGTCTAATTGCAGGTGATTCTTCTGTTACAAAAATGAGAGCAAACTGTCTTAAGCCTATTCTGACATAGCTTCATAACTTCCCCATCTCTTATTTTTAAGCAATTATAATCACACAACTGCTGTGAGAATGGTAGAAGTAATGGTAATAGAACTTTAAAATACTTTCAATATTATATCTGCAGTCCCTAGAGACACAAGTTGTTTATTATTATTTCTAGGCTTCTTTAAATTAATGTGGCTTGATTTTAATTGATTTACTGTCCTTTAATGTTGGCATTCAAGAGTCATTAAAAAGTTTTATGTTGGTTCTACAGACAGTAAGATCTTTATACTAGAATTATACTAGAAACTGAAAAGGCAACACAAAGGAGATTTGTCCAGTTTTATTACATTAAGAATAATTCTGAATATAAAAGAATTAAAACAATATACAGAGGAATCATTTAACAATTATGGCAAGCCTGACTCATCCCTAGACAAGAGCTAAACGACCATTTCTTGGCCAGGTTTGGTGTCCTCCAAATCCCATTTGTCATTCTCAAAAGAGGCCCTATTCATACATCCATCTATATTTTGGAAGACTGGGTGCTCACTGATAACTCCCCTTGACTATTTTACCAATATTGCTAGCCCTGCTCTGATCTATTTATAGATGCCAACATCTCAGGTCATTAATTTACTACTTTAACTGGTTTAGTATGAAGCAGTCAATCTGTATGGCAAACAAAAGTCTTAACTGACCAGCCTAGCCCATAGTAAAAGTTCTGGAAGATGAATGCACACAGTGTTCAGCAACTGGGGAAGCTAGGTGGCTTTTCTCTTACCTGGAAGGCCATCAAGGCTGTCTTCCCCATGGTTACAACTGCAGAATTGGGTTCTTGTGAACGCTTTTGGCTTCTGATTAACTGGGCAGGCAAGGCTGACCTAATCAGCTAACTTGAATTTAAGTCAGGTCAGTAATAAACACAAGATCTTTTATAAGGTGAATCATCATGCTTCAGTAACATCTCTTTGCATTCTGTCAAAATTAGTTTGTCCCACTGCATATGTTAATTAGTTCCTATGCATATTTTATATGGTCAGGAATACTGCTTTGTTAATTACCATTGCAACTTTTGGATTTTATGGACAATTTTTGAATTTCATTTGATGGGCTATTCTTTGTGAATGCCGTTTCCCTCTGATTTCCTTCCTCTCCATTTCTTCTCCCCACTCTTTATCAACAACAAAAAAACCACTAGCAGAGCTACAGATAAATTATATTTTGTTACAAAGTGAGATGCCTGTATTATCCCTCTTTACTTATTCTGGAAAGCCTAATTATGTTCTCTCAAATATCAGGGGTTACCATAGCCACTCATCTTCCAATGATGCATATGTTATTTTTGGCAACAAGAGCTTTCTGTCTGCTATCAAAGATAAATAGCCAATATTTACACAAGCAAATACATGGATACAAATCTGATATTTAAAATGCCAATACTCATAAACCAGTAGCAAGACTCTTCAACCTTTCAAGACATTCTGTCACTGCCTTATGGTAGCCATTCTTGAACAAAGAAACTTCATAGGCAGATTATATGGATTACAATACATAAAATTCAAGATTTGCCTCCTGGGGGAACAGTTGTATTTTTTAAAGAAAAAGTCAAAATGTGTGTGTTAGTCAATTCACCAACACAATAAATGTATCTTTTTTCTCCCAACACATATTTTTGGAATGCCCATGGTTAGTAAAGTTACAATTGCTTTCCACATTTCATCTCCCATCACCTGTCTTTACAAATTGCCCTTATCCAAATCAAGGATGCATATATACTTATAACTTGTTTAATGATATATTTGTTACTCCTTAGAAGTGCCACAGAACCTTCTGATAT